TTGGTGAGGCTCTGAGCAGCTTGACTTAGTTGGTGATGTCCCTGCTTATTGCAGACGGGTTGGGCTAGGTGACTTCTGGGCGTCCCTTCCAATCCAAACAGTCTATGATTCTGTGATTCTAAGCCAACAGCCCCTCCTGTTTTAATGTGCACATCTGGGTACATCTGTAATGATCCCTGAGTTAAAGGCATTGTGCACACTGTACATAGGTGCTGAGCTGGCCCGCTATGCACAAAGGTTTTGAGACCAGTTTGCCCATGTGGATTCTTGTTTTGATTTCAATTTTCCTTATTAACAAGTGATGTCAGATGGATGAGTCTCATCAGGATCACAGTGAAACATTTCTCAGCATAAAAGAAACAAAGGAATTACATATTTTAGTATGAGGTGGATGAAAACTACGTTGAAAACAGTTTTGCTCCATTGCTCTTCAGAGACCACCACATATCTCCATAGCCCTCAGCTGATTCCCTCCATCCTCTCCCACGCATGGTCCATGGCACCTTCTGCAAGGCTGTAGTGCCTTTCTGTCATAGATCTACACTGAAATGAGTTTCCAGAGATACAGTCAAACACTTTGTATAATTTTTACTTGCAAGGTCTCATTGAACAGTGGCAGTGCTGCTCAGCTATGACAAAAGGACACAGGTTTTTATTTCGCCATATGATGCCAATATGGTGCTGTCCTCTAGGTGCCATGAAATGTGTGCATTACCTAAGGCAATGATTTGAGATAGTTACTCATCAGCTTGTGATTACCACAATCATCAAAGTTACTGTTGACTACCTCCTCAGAAGGTTGCACACTGTAGAATGGGCTATGAAGGTACCCGATGAAAAGGCTTGGCTGTAGCACTTATTCTTTCTGCGATCCAAATCCAATTTTGATTTTTGAACCGAAATCTGATTTTCAGATTCTAGCAAAGGCATCTCTGTTTGCTCAGATGCTTTGGTTTGAACCACATGTCATGTGAAGAGAGGTGGGCAGGAGGTTTTATTGGCCTATCCTGCTTTAAAACCTTGGTTTTGATTGTGGCCATCTTCGGGAACAGAACTGCTGACCACTGTAACAAATACGTTTGTTTTTAAAAGTGTCCGTAATTGCAGCGTTGCATCATCTCCATGGTTATTTTAAAATTTCTCTTTGTGACTTTACATTATTAATAAGGTGTCTACAGAATTGTCTAGAAAAAAAAAAAAAAGTCCTTGTGTTCATCTTGATTGCAGCTTTAGCATTTCCTGCCGTAACTGGACAAAGTCCTCGGCTGGAGTAAACTGATGTCGCTTTTAGTCGGATTTTTCTCTTCATGCTATTGGCACTGTTGTCACCAGCTGTCACCGTTAGATATCCACAATATGTCAGTAAGGAAGAATCTCTATTTTGAAGGACAAACTAGATAAAATTACATAAGAAATGGAGAGTATATGCTGAACACTGGCTGGAAGAGTGCTGTCACAAGCTGGAAACTCACGCCTGTGATCACAAATAGGCGGTATGAAGCATGGATGAATTTTAATGGTTGCTAACTATAATTAAATTATCACTGGAAGATGAACTATATGTGAATTTCTTAAAATACAGATACACACATGCTATAGAATAGGAGAATTTTGTTCACTGCTTTCCTTCTACTGTGTTCAAAGTGTTTCAGCAAGACTAGTATCCCTTTTGCCACCTTAAAAACAGAAAAAGAGAAGCACAGAGGTCCCTCAGCCACCCAACGGCAGATCCACAAGGAGGATTTAGGCCTCCTGAATCACCCTGCGGCGTCAACACAAGAGTTTACACCATTTGAGTACATTTGCGTAACATTCATAAACCAGATTACCTAGTACAGGTAAAAGTAATGAAACCTGGTTTTGAAGCGATTTAGCTTGGTGTGCCATTAAAATCATGGGTTGGGAAATAGTTCACAAGAATCTGTGGTCTCCAAGAGAACTTATTTGTATGGACTAGCACACGCAAATCCTATTAGCATAAGAGTTACTTAAGCACATCTTCCCAAATTGATATTAATCTCTGCTCGCGCTCAGCAGTGCAGTGGCAAGACGAGCCACATTACTGTCATTCTGAAGTCATCTCCTAATCATAGAGCCTGTGCATCAGGGCCGCTCCAGAGGCACAGTGAAGCCTCTAATCGAGAAAGCAGAATGAGGTCATGTGTGGCCCGCTGACTTGATTGCAAATGGCAAGACAAAGGTGCCCCATGTCCTTCTGAGGTAATAACTTTAAGGATGCAATTGGCTGGGAAATACAATCAGTCTTTGAATGCCATGAAAGTTGCTAATGTATTAGTTGCTATTTGAATAGTATTTTATACTACACACCACGCCAAAGGACTGAGAATGGTGAGGCATAGGAACAGGTTTCCCAGGGAAGCTGTGGATGCTCCATCACTGGATGTGTTCAAGACCAGGTTGGATCGGACCTTGCGCCACCTGAACTTCTCCTCTTTGTGGGTACCAAATCTGACGTATGGCTTCATTGCATCTAGGTTTTATGCTTTTTAACCAGAGTGAAATACTAGTCTTTATTTCTCTGAATGAGAACCTAGAGCCCACCCAACACAAAGATCTTAGGGAAAG